GGGGGGGGCTGGTTAATGGCGAGTCTTGTCCTCGCCAGAGTCTGAACTAGAGACACAGAAACAGCAAAGAAACACCCAGTACAATCACTGCGCTGAACACATTCACCCAGCAGCTCAGACCATAGCACGACGGTGAATAGCCACAAGAGTCCCCTCCAGTTCTCCATGCTCAGGTGGGGGGGGGGCGCTCCCCCGCCCCGGTGCCCTGCACGCGCCGGCGGGTGGGTAGAGAAATGGCTTCTTCATTATTTTGTTGGTTGTTTCCCCCCACCAACCCCAGACTGGGGGGATGGGGGGTCTGAGAACAGGAAGGAAGGAAGGAAAGAAAGAAAGAAAAAGCCCCTCCCTCAATGCCCCCCCCCAGAAAAAAAACCAGATCAATGTCTAGATAATCGTCATTTCCAAAGATTGGGGTGGGTGCAGGACACACGGGGGGAGAGGGGGGGCTGAGCAGGCAAAGCCCTTTATCAGAGTATAGAGAGCGCAGAGAGAGAGGGTGATGGGATCCCATTGCTGGCACCAGGCAGGAGTTGGGGGGAGACCCCCAGCACTGATACCAGGTAGGAATGGCAGAGGTGAGGGGCAAACCCCAGCACTGACCCTGGCCAGGCAGGAAAGAGGGAGTGGTCTCTCCCTTGGCCAGGGCAATGGTGTAGGGCAGCCCTGCCTTGCTGGTGTGATGGGTGGGGCAGGGAGAATACCTGCAACTCCACAAGCCTTCCACCCTGACCCACATCCCATTGCTGGAGGGGGGGGGGGGAGAGAGAGAGAGAGAGAGAGAGAAATACTGGGAGAAAGAGCTGGGAGCCCTTCCCTATTAGTGAAACCTCTACCCCCTCTGGGGAATGCCCCTGCCCCGGGGAGCTGGAGCCAGGCAGAGACCCCCCACATGCAGGGAAATGGGGACAGCTTTGGCTCAAGCTGCCTCCTGTCTCAGTTGCCAACCCTCCAGGATTGTCTCCAGGAATTAAAGACTCAACTTTCATTAAAGATTAGGTCATGTGATGAAACCTCCAGGAACACGGCCAACCAAAATCAGCCCCCCTAGCTGCCCCCCACCATGGCTCCTGGGGGCAGGTTGGAGGTGAGTTTACTCCCTCCCCCTCCCATGGGCACACACCAGGAAAAGAGGGGGCAATACTATAAAAATGACTGCCAGGGGGAGGATGAGGCCACTCCTGAGAAATCCGAAGTGGGGAAGAGGTAATGTCCCAATTTCCTCCAGGGGGGAGGCAGAGGTCCATGGAGGGGGTGTCAGCCCTGCTCCCTCTGGGAGGAGAGGGGAAGGTGTATGGGAGGGGGTGTAAGATTGTCATCTGTGTTCTGCTATAAAACACCCTGAAGTTGAGTTCAAAGCATTGAACTGTCCCCGAGGACAGTGGGGGGGGGGGGCGGTTAAAGGAGGCAGGAGCGGGGGGGGGGGCGGGGGGGGGGGGGGGGGTAAAGGGGGTGCCCCCCAGTGCAGGTTTATTTGCTTGGGAGGGGCACTGTGTCCCTGCCAGGGTCTCTGCTGCTCCCGCCGAGCTGCGGGCTGGGGGTGCCCCCCATCTTCCCCGGGCCGCGTCTCGCGGGGGCGGTGGCTAGTGCTCAGCAGCGGTGTTGCGGAACTCTCCATTTTCCGTGATCTGGAGTCGCGGGGGCGGAGGCGGTGGCTGGGCGGGCAGGATCCCGTTCCATGGCTGGGCCAAGGCGCCGCTCAAACGCGGGTTTGCTGTACCCACGGCGGAAAGCTGCCTCTCCTGCAACACAGACACAGAGCAAAGGCTTATTTATTAACGTTACGGGGGCTCAGCCGCTCAATCTGCAGCCCCGCCCACCAGCCCTCCAGACACCTACCCAGATGGCAACCCCTGCCCCAGCCCTCTTCTCCAGTGCCTACATCCACCCAGGCAGCTCGGTCCATGGGGCCGACCTGAGCCAGGAGCATCCGGCACCAACCCAGGAACAGTAGGGGTTCTCCTGGGGGTTTGTTGCTTGTTTCCCTAGTAGGAGAGGATGGCCCCAGGTTTTCTCTGGCCTGGCAGTTCATGGGGTGGGCGTGTTAGCTAACACTGGACTCCAGCAGTGCACCCCAAACGCACAGTGGGACAAAAGAAAAAGGATTCCTACTGGAAAACATGTTAACGCCCCCATTGTAATTCACTTCTCTTAGCACCCAGATGGACAAACCCTATGCCCAGCCAGCTACCACCTGGTCGACACAGACCTAGCTAGCCTGGTCTACTCTTAAAAGCTGTAAGTTAGGGGTGGTGACGTCTTACTAGTACCCGGGTACCACTAGGACCCCAGGGCAGACACAGCTATCCTGAGATTAATTTACCATAGGGAGGATTGCCAGAGTGGGGGGTAGGGTGCTCGCCTGGGATGCAGAAGCTCTGCGTTCCAGTCCCTGCTCTACTGCAGGCTCCCTCTCTCAGCTTGGGCACGTCCCTTCTGGCCAGATTTACAGACAGGACTTTGGCACCTAATCTGTCTGGAAATTTTTGAAAATCCTACTAGGTGCCTATCTGCATCCTCAGGCACTAAATACCCTGGAAAATCTTGGCCTACCAGCAGCCCTGCTCTCATGAAAGGCTCCTCTACATCTGAATGGTGTCCTGCTTTTACTGTCCTGCGGGGGTTAAAGCCAGACACCCTTGCTAGTAGTGTGGATACAGTGATGAAAAGGTGCTGCGAGCAGCCAGCCATTCCCGAAGGGGAATAAGCTAGAAGGGTACAAGGCACTTTTATCCCAGTCTCTCTGCGTCTCACTAGGGTCACCCCTGACCCAGCACAGCTCTGCAGGACAAACTGGCCAGCCCAGCCTTAGTCGAAAGATGCTTCTCTTGACTGAGGCAGAGGTGGGGCTTTGACTAAGCACCCAGCACCCAGTTTAACAGCTGGATAGCAGCACGAGCTGGACCTGCTGGTGGTCGGGAAACAAGGGTAAAGCTTCCGCTCCCCATGCCCCTTTCTGCTGTGTAACCCCAATCCTGGGGGCACACCCTGTGCTCAGCATGCTGCCAGTTCACAGGCTCACATTTTCCCAGCGCTATTTCAGTGGCAGGTCACTGGGGACACGGCAAACCTGCCCCAGCCCACTCAGGCTAGGGACAAGTGGGGGAGAGATCCCACTGCCACGGGGGCCGGGTGGGGAGCAGCCTCTTGCTCCCATTGTTCCGTTGGCACAGGGTGGGGTTTGAGGGGGCTGTGAATGCGGCCAAGGCAGCTGCTGAGTCCATGACATGGGAGCCCAGCTCAGGGCAGTGGGTCAGTATCCCACTCTGCTCTTGGGGAACACTGCCTGGTCCCTGTGGAATCACAGTCTGTCCATGCTATCCCCTCCCCCACATAGTCCCACACCATCACCACCGAGAACGACATTCCCACACACGCCCTCCCTACGCGGGCACTAACCTCTCATGCCTGCCGTCCGGCACCACCCGGGAGCATTCCGGGGCGCCCCCCTCTGGACGGTGGACTGTGCTTTCATCGCTGAGACCTGTGCCCCCCCGACACATGTGCTCACAGGACACAGACACACACCCCCCCCCATGTTACACTGCACATGCCCTCCCCTCACAACGCACGCACGAGACGCAGACACCCCCACTGCAGCCCGGCACACCTGAAATCAGGGCTATGGGAAAGAGATTCCCTGCAAGTGGGGGTAGCTCAGGGCTGAGACCTGAGGATCCCACTCCCTGCCCCAGACTCCCTGGTTCTGCCCCTGGGAGGTGAACACAGCCCTCCCCACCCCCCCACCAATTCAGTAGGAGTTACAGGTTCCAGTGAGATGCGGCGTAGACAGACACAAGACAGGAGGTGGAAACGAGACGGGTATGAAACTGGGGGGTTAGCGCTGGGGAAGACGCTCACAGACACTAACAAAACACTAACTGCCCTTGTCTGGTGAGAAACGTTTCCCCCAACATTCCCCCAATTTAACTCCCCAATCGGCCTCCACCCCAGCTCTGATTCCCCCTCAGCCTCCCTCCCAGCACTGCTCCCCCAGCCTTTCAAGGGAAGGGTGCTCATGTGGGCAAGATGCTCACATGGGCAAGACCGGGGCCCCAAGGCTCAGCCCCCCTCAGAGGAATGCAGCTCTTCACGGAAACCTGCTTTGTGCTGAAGATGGGGTGAAGCGAGGGCACAAGGGGAAGGGATCACCCCCAGCACTGCAAAGAACTCATGAGGTGTTGGTGGGGGCAGCACAGACTGCCTGGTGACTCCCAACATCCCAACTCCAAGGAAACAGAAGTGCTGCCACTACCCCAAGAGAGGTTCATGGGCTACTCTGGTGGGAACGCACCCCAGGCCAGCGTCAGACGACCCCCGAGTCAGGGAGCAGAGGGGCAGGAAGGCAGACAGGATGGGGACAGGCTGACAGGTGACGTTGTTTATTCCTGACACACGTGATTCTCCTTCGGTTCCTGTCCTGTACCACTAAATGGTCCTCGTGCTGCATCCCAGCATAGGTCAGCTGGTGCAGATCAGACCAGGGGCTCATCTAGACCCATCGCCTGTCTCTGCTAGTGACCAGTGGAAGGTGTGAGGGGGTCTCACCAGAGGCAGCGCAGGGAGGATCACTCAAGCAGAGGGCACTGGGATGGAAAAGACCAGAGAAATACTGGCCCAAATCCAACTGGCACCTTTCCCCACCCCATCTGTGTCACAACAGGGAGCGAGGCTCCGGGGAGATTGTGATGCAATACCCAGGCAATTCTGCCCTCTGGGGATGGAGGCAGCCACCCAGTAAAGACTTGGGTGCCACAGGGTGCATTCTGATGTTCTCTTCTCAGCCACTGGCCACCCCATGATGGAACTGCTCCAGCCTGAGACCCCCAAATCCTGTGGGGTGCGGAGTGGCTCCCCAGAGTTGATGGAAGCAGCCAACAGGACCGAGAGGCTTATGGGAAGGCCTGGAAAAAGCCCGCAACAGGAGGGTGAAGGCAGTCCCTGGGGCTGAGCAGCACAGGCAACACCCGCAGCGCTGCCCCCAAGAGACACAGTGTCTGTGAAATGTTCTGACCAGGCTCCATGGTGCCAGGTTCAATCCCCCCCAGCCATGCCAGTACTCAGTGGTCTGGGCCCACTGGAGAGAGAGAGGCTGGACCCTCGGCGGGACAGGGGGGATAGAACCAACCAGACAACGGAGTTAATTGAACCTAATGGGGAAGGAGAAGGTAGTTTGCTAGTCTCTACAGGGAGGGGTGATGCACAGAGGGAGAGGGGGTGCGTGTGCAGATGGGGGTTGAGGGGGAGGAGAGGAAAGGACCCACCTGATCTGCTACCGAACGGCGAGAGTCCCCCCGATCCCTCCACGTGACAAAAGCAGAGTCAGAGAGAGTTACCTGATGAAAAGCTAGGATGAAGAGGAGAGAAACAGACGGGTCAGGGCCCCGGCACTGGTGCCCCCCGGTGGGAGCACGGATCACCCCATTGCTGGCTCCATCGTCTCCCCAGAGAACAGGAGGGGTCCACAGACCCAGGATGGGAGAGGGCCGGGAAGTGCTGGGGGCAGCAGGGGGAAGGGGCCTGGGAAAATCATGATTGAAGTCCTCTCCCTGACCTCTCGCTGCACCCACAGATCCAGGGCCAACTTGACCCAGCTCTGGGGCACACGGGACGACCGGGGAAGGGGGGGAGAGATTCCTGCCACTGGCTCATGCTGGGACAGCCAGGTGAACAGCTGCTAGAGCTACACAGCTACCTCAAAACCCTCACACACACACCGCCCAGTATCTGTACACTGACCCCTGGGCACCCAGCCCCGTATCCAGACACTAATACCTCTATCAGGGGTCGGCAACCTTTCAGAAGTGGTGTGCCGAGTCTTCATTTATTCACTCTAATTTAAGGTTTTGCGGGCCAGTAATACATTTTAACGTTTTTAGAAGGTCTCTTTCTATAAATCTATAATATATGACTAAACTATTGTTGTATGTAAAGTAAATAAAGTTTTTAAAATGTTTAAGAAGCTTCATTTAAAATTAAATTAAAATGCAGAGCCCCCCGGACTGGTGGCCAGGACCCGGGCAGTGTGAGTGCCACTGAAAATCAGCTCGCATGCCGCCTTCGGCACGCGTGCCATAGGTTGCCTACCCCTGACCTATATGGTGACCACCTTGGCAGGGTGCAAATAAGAGAAAAGCATGGGGAAAATAAGGAACCCCACTTTATTTTAAAAGACCTTTTAGGGAAGCACCATGTCCCTTAGCATATCACCGATTGGTCTCTCGACTTCCCAGGACAGCCACCTCAAACAAGGGACAATCATAGACAGGTGGAAACCCTAATCTCAAGCTGGACCCCACGGCGCCCTCGGGCCCCAATCCCTGCACAGGCTTCACTATCCCCTGAGCCAGGCCCCAAGGCCCCCTCGGACCCCAATCCCTGCACAGGCCTCACTATCCCCTGAG